TTCAAGTCATATTCAGTACACCCAATTCATAATGTGTGAAAAGACTACCCAGATATATATCTTTGAAGATTTATTTATGAGAGAGAGTGTGAGCACGTGTGAGTGGGGAGTGGGAAGGGAGGGGCAGAGGGAAATTATTTAAAGCAGACCCCCCTCCTGAGCAAAGAGCCGGATCTTTATGTGGGGCTCGATCCCAGGACCTTGAGCTCATGACCTGAGCCAAAATCAAGAGTCTGTCGCTTAACCAACTGAGCCAACTAGGTGCCCCCAAGACTATCCAGATTTTTAGAGCTCATCTAAAGGGACTGTGCCTTGTACTTGAAGAGCTCCTAAGAGATGATTCTGGAAGACTGGATTTTAGGTTTTCCTGATTTTCACGAAAAATTTTTATACTTGACATTTCACAAGGAGAAAAAAAAGCATAACAAAACCAGAAGTCACTGTAAAAGTACTCGAATTCTCTATTTAGATGCAATCAAAAAATATTTTATTTATTTAGAGAGCAAGAGAGAGTGAGTGGGAAAAGGGGTAGAGGGAGAGGGAGAATCTCAAGCCGGCTCTGCCCTGAGGACAGAGCCCAATGGAGGCTCCATCTCACGACCCCAAGGATCACCACCTGAGCCCACCCAAATCAGGAGTCGGACCCTTAACCAACTGAGCCATCCAGGTGCCCCTAGATGCAATCTTAACCAGGTTAGCCTTTAGCACAGAATTCAATTCATACTTTAAATTGAGGTCATTAAAAATTGTTGAAATGGCAGCAAAACAGCAGTCAATTTTTGGCAACCCCCCCCCAAAAGAAAGTGTGACATACTTAGCGTTGGTCTACTTAAGTCTAATAACAAAGGACCGTCACGTTTTCCAGGGCCAAAGGTCAAGAACACTTAATGTCAATTAAGAGATCTCAGCAAGAGTTCTTGCTCTGCTCTGGTCAACAAGACGGCTGCAGAAGCACTTTTAAATAATGGCTCATAAACCCACAGCAGCATTCAGAAATGTCAGGACAGACTAGATGAAACACAGTTGGCTAAGCCAGAAGCTGTCCGAACATCAACTGGCTGAAGAGCGATTGTCCTCCAAGTGTCCCTCTCTTCCCTCCCTACCAGTGGCATAAGCGACACCTAGACACCTATCAGACACACAAACCCTTTCACCTCCTGCAGGACAACCTGGTGTACCAAGCCTTCCAGGTGGCCGTGGTTCTAGGGCACTGCTGTGGAAGGTCCTACAGTGGTTTTTACATGTGAAACCAAGCACAAGATGCTCGGTTTGGCGTGTCAGGCTCGTCCTATCTTGGCTGACCCACGCTCCACTTCCCACTGCCCATCCCTTTCGGTGGGCAGCCCGAAGAGTAGGACTTTGTTCAAACACACTTTCAAAAGGCCCTTAGAGATAGGTCTAATGGAAAAGTCAGCTAGTTTTCCTATGTTACCATAGAAACAGGAAGCATCATTTACTCCTGTAAGAAAGGTCCCCTTTGCAGGGGACATTGAATATTTACAGAAAGATCTCTTTATCCTAGGAAACCAAGTTTTAGAAAAGCAAATATGGGAAACTTAGCCTCTAAGGCTTCCATATACACCTTAACAGCCTATGTTCTAAGTGAACTTTCCCTAATTATGGCTGCCCAATAAGGAAAACATGTGTCCTGGGCAAACCTATGCGGTCTACTCTGAAAGACATAATTTCCATGTAAGGAAGAAGAAGATTGTCTTAGCTCCTGACCCCTACTGGTCCCTCGGCCCCAAATCCACAGGGAAAGGGGCTTCATCTCTACCCATCCTTAATGACACTTGAGTGTCCTAGGACCATTTTTTAAGCTACACCCAGTCCTACTTCGGGGAGCTGACATAAACATAATAATGTTTATTTCTGGATTATAAAATCAATTTCATTTTCTATGTCATTCTTTATTTGTATAGTTTATAAACAGCTTCTGTATTTACCATCTCATCTGATTCTCGTAACAACCTGTGAGGTAGGTACAGTTTTATTATTCCCACCGAGAAAACTGAAACTTAGTGGTGACTTGAATAAACTGACCACTGAACAGTAAGGAGGAAAGACAAATGTTTTGCATCAAAAATTTAAAAATTCATGACGTCCCCGCCCCCCAAATTCTAAACTTGCTTGAATTGATATCTGCCCAATGAGACTCACTAAAGTCGTTAAGTAGGTTTCTAGGTTAGGTGGTATTTCCTGGCTTAGGAAGGGTGGAGGGCTGAAAGCTCCCAGCTACAGAATGGATACAACCTGCTAGGACATCTGGAACTCTATGGGGTTCAAATTTACAACGACAATGGTGATGAATAATGGCCCTAAGATTTTTTCAACTCCTACTACAAGACAGGCACCGTTCTATGTTCATTAAATATATTTAACCACCCTATTCACAGCAACGTTTTACAGATGAGGAAAACAAGGCACAGAAAAGCTAAGTAACTTGCCCAAGAGCACACGTCTTGCTCCCTGCTCACAAAGGAGGATGTGGGACTGGAGGTGCCAAGCCCCTGTGAGGTGTGCCTGGCCAGTGACGGAAGTCCGACATGGAGGGCAGCCACCACAGGAACCTGGATGACGTTTCCAGTGTTGCCTTTTAAGCAACAGTCTCCACCTGCTCTCTGCCAAAACATCAATCAACGCTCAGGTTCAAGTAATCAGGAGCATCAGCTGAGACTACAAACAACCCACTCCTTTTCAGACTGTCCCTACGAAAGCTGGGGAGGGGAGAGATCTTGGTTTTCTCGATTTGCTGATTTGTCTAGAACTGCCTTCAACTAATTTAAGAAAAATTAGAGAGGGAAGCAGCCCTGGAGGAAATGTGCAAATTAAAGAGGCATGTGGCACTGATGAGTGGTTTAGTAATCTAGCAGAAAATGAGGTGGGAGGCAGAAGTTGTAGTCAACGATCAGAACGAACGGCTTTTTTTTTTTTTTTTTTTTTTTTTTAAGAAATACAGAACAAAAAACGGGTATCCTGCCTTTTCCTCTTTTTTCTTTTTTCAACTGCTTCTATTTTGGAATTGTATGAGCAGCTTTTTTACACACTGATCAATCTTTTTAGGTTTATACATCTTTTTCTCAAGGAAGGAAGCAAAGATCAGGTTCAACTCTTGGGCAAAAAGGAAAAATAACATGATGAATGCTTGCAGTCTTCATGGGCAAGTGCAGTATGGTGGGGGCAGGGCAACTTTCAAAGGTGTTCTCAAATTTGCACACCTTCATCATTTCCCATCTCTAATTTTCAGCTAATGACCTAAGGCCACCTTGAGATCCTCAGAGTCCACCAGAAAACCCAATTTAACAAGTTCTTGGGTATTCCATATAATCTCTCCTTCAAGAAAAGTCCCCAAATCGGGAGAGGAGACTATGGTGACGACAGGTGACATTTCAAACCCTCAATCCTTCCACACTCTAATAATCCTGACCCAACTACTTACTAATGGTGGGCCTGTGTGCTTCCTTTTCCTCCTCTGTAAAATGAAGATAATACCTTCTTCGTCAGGTTGGTGTGAAAAGTTAATGAAATCATATAAAGCATTTAGAACAGTTCCCGGCACGGAGTAAGTTCTCAGAGAGCATTAGCTATTATGACCATTACTGCCAGAATTTGCAAAACACATCGCAAAGGCACCCACAAACGGAAGGCTTCTGATGTATTGGTCACGTTTTGTTGCTTCAAAAAAAAAAAAAATCTAAAATCAGAACAACCATCAATACAAAAAACCTAAAAGGGTTTTTGGGAAAAGGGGGGGAGCCGCCCAGAATCATGCCACCTGTTGGTGAGTTTCAGGTGAGGGAGGGTACAGCCCAGAGCACTGGGTTCCACTACTGCCACCGCACCCCCCACCCCCGTTTTCTCTTTCTCAGCGTTTCAGGCGCAGGATTACAGGCGGCTCTGCAAGCCCCCTGAAACTGGTTGAGGCTGTGGGGCTGGGCATTAGGGGTGCAGGTGGGTTGGGAGGGTTCCACAGCTCTTCTCAGGCTCCAATAAATTCTCCAGGTAGGATCTACTTGCTTTACAGGGTTAAACTCAGAGGATACCGACTGAGCAATTCATTTCAGGGAGCTGCACCAATAAACCCGGACACCTGGGCTGTTAACCGGCTGTCTCAACACCGCAGAGGCCGGGCGCCGCGAGGGGCGAGAGCCGGCCGGCCAGCGCACGGCGCTGCACCCCTCACCACTTACACGCAGACCTGTGAACTTCACCGCGGAAAAACTCAAGGGCTCCACAGACAAGACCCAGGTTTGCCGGGTTAAACTTCCCCTCCCTTCCCCCATCTCTCGTTCCCTTCCAAGAACAAACTCAAAGGAAACTGGCAACGCTCCGTCTAGGGTTTCGCTCCTGCCCTCGGCTGACACTTCAACCACTTCTCCCAGGGAAGTTAATTAAAAGAACAATTAACCCGCACAAAAATCCAAAACCTACCCCAAAGCTCGAGAGCTCCTCAAGTTAGATGATTGAGGGCGCCTCTGCTGATTATGACCATCTGCCCGTCACTGGGGCTCAGGGCTAGGCAGGGGGTACGACTGGGAAGCGGGCAGGGTCCCGCCGTAGGGGCTGACGCCGGCCGCTCCCATCGCGTCTACGCTCACCGCCGTCCGCGTAGACGGGCTTGGTGGGATACAGCCAGGTATGCAGGTAGGTGTGAGCAAGTGGAAGAACACACAGCCGCGGCGGATTAAAGTTCAAGCCCGTTCACACACCGCTTCCCCTTCCCCGGCCGGCGTTCTCACGCACGGCCCGGGCGGCCACTCCCCGGGGAAAGCCTGGGCGCTCCACAGTCCCCCCCTTCGGAAGGGGCTCCCCAAATCCCTAGGAAGCCCTCGTGACTCCCCTTACCCCCCAGCCTCCAACCCTTGAAAAGCAGGAGCCTCCCTCGACTCTCCTAGGCGGGCGCAGAAAACCCCCGGGAAAAGAGCAATGGAGGGGCCAGGGGAAAGCGGGGTGTCGCCGAGGGCAGGTGGCTCGGGGCGCGCAGCAGGCAGCGTACGTACCCAGCGCGAACAAGACGAGCTGTCCAGCCGAGGGGACCATCTTACGGGCGGCGGGCAGCAGGCTCTCCAGCCTCCTGCCCCTACCTGCGGTGCCCGAGTGGCGAAGCGGCGCCGCGCTGCGGGGGAAAAAGGCGCCGGCGAGGCAAGGCCAGCCCCCGGCGCGGGCGGGCGGAGGCAGGACCGAGCGTTCTCTGCCGCACTCACTCCGCTGAGCGGCCGGCCGGGCGGAAATGGGAAGGCGGTTACCGTCACCTCTCCGCCACTCGGCGACCGGGCCACCGCGGACCACCCTCCCGCCCCGGTGGGGGTGCCCCCCTACGGCCACAGTGGGTGGGGGTGTGGGGCTGGGGGCGGGGACGCCGCGCGCACCGTGCAGGGCGCGGGCGGCGGCGGGCGGGGCGGGGCGAGCGGGGGAATCTCGGAGCCCCGCCGCGCGAGCCCGGCACCCGGGCGGCCGGGAAGGCAGGAAGCGCCCGACTTCAGCCACCACCCTCAGACTAGCCGCGCCGTGCGGCCGCCGCGCAGCTCGAGAGTGCGGGCGCGGTGGTCGCTTCCAGGCTCTGCGCGGGGGAGCGGAGCCGCGCGGGCGTCCGGCACCTGCGCGGACGGCGGCTGCGGGGGGCTCTCCGGCCGGGGACTGGGGACGCAGCGCGGAACGGGACCGGCGAGCTTCGCCCGCTGCCTGCCAGGACTTGGCCCCAGGAGAGGGCTCTCCAGAATCAAGAGAATTTGTTCAGCTAGGTTTCCTACCCGCACCCTTATCCCGATAGAGAATTCTCGATGATAGGAATGCCGGCCTCCAGGGCACATTGTTAAGATCCCTGGGCTTTCATATATCCGGCCTGGGATGAATAATGATGATGGGTCTCTAAGGGTACCTGGTTATCCACCATTAGTACCACCCCAGTCCACACCCCCCGCACCCCGCCACAGGCAGCTGGGGCCAAGAACTGGGTAGCGTGCTGCAAGGGGGCCAGAGAGAGGGATGTATGGGCTGGAGCCACCTGGGTGGCTCTTTAAGGATTTGTGGCTTGGAGCTGGCCCCTGGTGCTGGAATTTGGGCAAGTGGAGGGCACGGAGGGAAGATCTTCTGGGTGGAGAATGGAAGACCCATAGGTTTCTTGGGGACCATCCCAAAGTCCCCTGAGGATGGTTCTTAGAGGACAGTATGCCCCCAAGAAGCAGTAACCCATCTTATTTTCCAGATGTCCCAAGCTGAGGGACTAAATCTTTTCTATTGACCCCTCCCGCCTGGCTGCTTAGGTTAGACCCACTTTCCTTGGGTGGGTGGCTGGGCAGTCGAGGTTGGGGGAAATCTCTTGCTGTTTTCTTGGCCTAAAACTCAGACTTTCAGGGTTGACTTTTGTTAAGTTTGTTTCATAGGAGCTGAGGGGCCTAGTTTGGAAAAGGAGGCATCAGGCCGTCGGCCTCAGCATTTGGCAGGAAACACCAGTGTAGAAAGGGATTTTGAAAACACCCTAAATTTACTTTGGGAAACCATTCCTTTCAATACATTTGTCAGAGGATACTTTGCTGTTCTTTCAACCCTTAATCATCTGCAGTGAGGGCTGTGTGGTAAGTTCTGGAGTACATCTTTTCCTGTGTCCACACCATGCCTGCACACAGTAAACACACACACTCTCTTTAGTAAGTGGTCCCCGACTCCCTTCAGTGCCCACCTCCTTCAGGCTGGTATTGACCTGTTCTGGTGGCCCTTTGATCTCCTTCCTAGACTGGCCTGCCTTGGTCACAATAGGGAAGAAATCAGTTTTCAGTGCCCTTCTCCGGTTATTTAGGACCCCCAGCTAGGACTGGAAAATGGACCCATCCTTTTGTTCCCTGCCAGGAGGCACTCATCAAGTTCACAATGGTGGAGAGCTAGCTGCTCAGGCTGGCAAGAGTCAGATTCAGCAGTCTTCCCTTCTCCGCCTGCTGCACACACACACAGTCGTGGGTGGGGGGGAAGTAGCAGCAGAATCAAACCAATGAGCTTGTCCCCTTCAGGACTGTAAAATCTTTTTAATCAAGAGATAATTCGATATCTTGTAAACTAAAGAGTACTCCAATCAAAGTACATCTAATGCTTTGAAATTCTTAATTCTCCGCCAACATGTTCAAGATCCACATCTACGGTTTTATAAACCTTCCAACTCATTCATGTCAAACAGATAATCAGCATTTTCTTACAAAGCATTTAAACATTTTTCTGTAGACTGAATTGAGATCATTTCTGAACATTTATTTATAGAGCTGGGAGGAAACCTAATATCCTAAAACGCGAATATTCTGCCTTGCCATCTTCCATGTCTCATCCAATCCTCACAACAACCTTATGAGATAGAGTCCATCTTCCCTTTATTTGAAAATAATTGAGACCGAGAGAATTTAGTAAATACCCAGAGTCACAAAGCTTGCAAGTGGCAAAGCCCAAATCTGAAAGCAAAATGAGCTGGTTCCCAGGCTCATGTGTTGGCTTCTCTGCCAAGCTGCCTCAGTTTCCACATTTTTAATAAGGATAATACCTAACTCACTGGGTCGACGTGAGGATTAGATACAGGAACCTATCTGCAGCCTTAGCACCGTATTTGTTATCAAAACTTACAGCCATTGTTGAGGGAAAGTCTCTCAGTGGACACGCCTTGCCCCTCTCTCAATTTCCTAGCATGATCCATATTTTATCATTTCCACACCACTTCTTTTGCTCTTGTCTACTGTGCGTGTGCATGTGTGAGCGTGCCTTCCTACAGGGTTAGCTTCACAGGTTCCTCAGGAGTTCTGAATTTGGTTTCTCAACCTGTGATGTAAGAGCAATGGGGAGGATGTGATTTAAAGTCAAGAAATCATTTTTTCCTAAAAGATGGTGTGATGTTTTTGTATTTGAGCAGTATGGAATACATCGCTCTCTGAGCCGTGTGACGTTCTAGCATTCTTCCCCTGTAGGCATGGCAGCTGTCTCGCCAGGCCGCCGAAGGTCCTGATTCTGTGTCCACGTACTGCCTGATGAATATGTGGCCTTCCCTCTAGGAATACGCCTGGGCTGCCTTTGCACACACTTGCTTCAGCTGGCCTTGAGCTCAAGGACCGTCCCTTCTGTCCTAAGCCAATGACAGTCTCTCCTCCCTATGCAAACAAGAGAACTGTGTTGTGCTCTACTCAGCGGCTGGTAAAATCCCACTGTCAGTTTTCCCTTTCCTTTCTTCTACATACTTATTACAGAGCATATGTTTAAAGAGTCCCCTTCTTCACTGTAATCAGCCTCCCCCTCTTTCCTGATTCATCTGGGAAGAGATTGTGGGCCCACAAGCACCAGAGTCTTCCCTGAATGATTCAAGCCAGCTGAGCTTACTGTTGAGCTTGGCAATCGCCCACGATATTAGTGAGTAAATGGCCCGGGCATTCTTAGGGAGGGAGTACAGCTCTGGGCCGCAGCACTGACGGGACAGCAGTCCCTGCAGACAAGCTTCCGGAGCAATGACCAGAGTTGGCTTCAGGTGGCTCTGGGACCTTCCTCAGTGGCAGCAGCAGATGGGGTGCTCAGAGGGGAACCAGAAAAGGGTGCCTGGCCCAATAGGATGGCAAAGGTCAGATGTCGTGTGTGTGTGTGTGTGTGTGTGTGTGTGAGAGAGAGAGAGAGAGAGAGAGAGAGAGGGAGTTTTTATAAAGAACTCTGGAGAACTCTTTAGACAGAGTGAGGAAATTTTACTGTGTCAAGGGATTTAGGAACAGAAATCTAAGCCAATGTAAGGTATTGTCCAAGTATCAGGCCCGTCTACAACCTCAGCTATTAATATATTCCTTACCTTTAGTCAAAAGAAAAATAGGAAACCTTGTGCTGAATCCATTTTTACAGTTTTCATCAACACAATGGGCGGAGTATGAAGCTATGACATGCATTGGCTTTGTCCCTCAGCTACCTGGGTGATTTTCATGGCCAATGTTGTCCAAAGAGTGGTTTGACCTTCTGCTTAATGTTTCCCACCCCCCCCCCCAAATCTCTACCTTTGGAATGCACACTGAAGTTGCATACTAAGCTTGACTCTTTCCTCCCCAAGGAATATCACAGCATGGCTCTAATGCCCACTAGTGAAGTCTGGAGGTTGATGCTTCCATGGGTGGTACACGAGGGCCAAGACATTGAGGCACTGGTCAGTATCTAAGACTGGGAGTTACCGGCTGGCTGTGACTAAAGACATCATTTTCTCATGTAGCCTGTGAACTGCCTAGATGACCAGGAAGCAGTAGATGTACCCAGAGGATTCAGCTCAGCTGATGTCAAACTATCCCATCAAGCACGCTTGGAGGCAGAAGAGCTATGCCTTCAATCTTGCCTTTGCTGCTGTCCCCCCAGCAGCCATACCTTTCTGAGAAGATGGTCCCCAGAATTCTTAGGAGTGTGGAGGGGAAAGTCCGAAATCATACGCCTAGAAATCCTTAGGCAAGTAAAACAATTTTGGAGGAAATAGGGTGGAGATGATCCAGAGAGGCAATAGGGAGACAGGGAAAAGAAAACAGAAGGAACTGAGGAAGGAGGAATCCAAGGGAGAGTCATCCAAAGGAGACTAAGTGATGTATTTTTCAATGATGGCTCAATCTGCCTGATAAACTCAAGAAATTCCCCCCAAGCTCAGAGGAAAAGGACAGAAGAGATATGAGAGATAAGATTTGAGACTGAGAAAGACAAAGCCAAAATATTAAAAATCTTTTTCATAGGGTGCCCAGCAAGGAAGCTTAGAGCTGATAGAGGAGAACCTGTTCTCGAACCCTGGATGAGAGTGCTTAGTGATGATAGGAGGGGCGTATACCTCCCATAGGTCTGTAAGGTGGAGGGGACTTTGTCTAAAGAGCCTACTACAGGTGCAAGGAAAGACTGCCATTCTGTGACATTTAAACCCTCAAATTGAACTTCTCATCCTGCCTTTCTTCCCAACTCCCATTGAAACAGCCAAAGGAAAATAATGATGGGGGAAATCTGTCATTGTTCAAAACTGAACAAGGATACACCCACATACCAGACACTTCAAGGAATTTCTATGAGACTTAATGCAGATGAAACCAGTTTGAGAGAAGGGTTTGACAACCTTCAA